AGAGAGAGAGTGAGAATGTGTGTGTGTGTTTCATTTTTTTTGTGAACCCAATTGCTGTGTATTCAGGTTTCCTCTTCAGTGTGTACTTTATTGTCCCATGATTTCAAGAGTTTTCTACTCTTCATTAACTGGAATGCACTATTTAATTTAAAGGTTATTTTTCTCTAATCAGTGAATTCATGATTGGAGTGAGATCCTCTTTGAAGATATTGTCATCTGGTATCTTCTGGTTTATGTAGTTTTTAAAATGGAGTCAGGTCCTCTGCAAGACTGGTATATTCTCTTTAACTGCTAAGCCATCTCTGCACCCTATAGTTTTAAGTTTCAGTCACTGACTTACTTTAAGCAATTTGGTGGTGGTGTTTCTTGACTTTTATCATACCTAATAATAATCAGGCATTTTGGATCTGTGAGTTTGAATAATTTTTATCAATTATGTCCCTAGTTGTGTTGTTATGGTTTATTGGTTGTTTTCTGTTGGGGGTTCTTGCCTATTCCCCTTTTCCCCTTTTCTCCCCTCTGCATTTCTGGTTCTCCAGTGTCTGTATGTTACTGTTTGAGACCATCATTATTTTGTGCTCTTCCCATCTTTCAGCCTTTGCTTCATTTTTGTTAGTTTCTTCAAGTTCCTTATCTTCTGCAGTGTCTTAACTACTAGTAAACCCATCCAATGTGTTTTTCAGTTCAGATATTAATTTCTCTGATCTGTAAGTGTGATTCAGTCTTCTTTTTGTCTTAAATTTTCATTATACCCATTTTCCCTTTCAAATCACAGGCATATTTATTGTGTCAGTGTTTTGAAGTTACTAATAATATTCAGTAAGCAGCTCAATTTCTTCTCTGCTGGTTGTTTTGTTTTCCTTAGTTTTGATCATATTATCTGTTACTTTTCATATCAGTAACTTCTGATTGTGCAGTGGCTACTTTCCTGCCTATCTAGATTTTATTTTCTCCCTTCATAACATGCTGAGTTTCATTTTGGCACACCATTAGTGTACTTCTGTTTTGTGGTGGTCTTTTTGAAGTCTGTTTAAAGAAGTTGGATGCAGAATAGCATTTTCTTTCAGGCTAAGTTTAGCCCTACAGAGGTCTACCAAATCTGTATCTTTCAGAGAGGTTTCCTTCTAGTCAAATGTGAATGCCACCCAGTGCTGGGAGGCTCTGAATTTGTTCATCTGAAACTTCATAGCTGTTCTTCCCAGTTCTCTTCTGTAGGTCAGTAACTGCCAAAGACGTTGAAAACAGCACTGTATAGATTTTCTGTAGCAGTTTCTCTGCTTTGTCTCATAGGCTCAAGCCAAGGCTTCTCAAATGCCCTTTGCTGATGCCCTGATTTAGTGAGGCTACTTGCCTTCCTGCAGGTCTCACATCTGGCAGATAACTGGGGCTCCTTGTTACAGTTTGCTTTCTGAGACCACAGCCCCATAATACCTGTTTTGAAGTCAGTCATTTTGGGCTCTGATCTGTTTCTGATTGGGTATGATAATATATGATGTTTATAGCTATTCTGTCTTGGCTAGGTAAAAATCTGATGTGTCAAGAATGTGAAAAAACTAAAACATGCTATACTCTTTTTTTTTTTTTAAGATTATAAGCTTCTAGAAGACCTTTTTGTTCACTGCCATATTTGTACTGCTTTACATACTATCCAGAACATCAAAGTGTTCAGAATCTATTTAGTCTGGTTGGTTGGTTGGTTGGTTGGTTGGTTGGTTGGTTGGTTGGTTGGTTGGTTGGTTTTGCAGTACTGAAAAACCAGACGAACCAAGGACCTTTTGTGCTATAGAAGAGCTCTGTCACTGAGCTATACTCTGAGCACTGCATATTTGTATAATGAATGTTGAAGCTGTATGTGGAACTTAATCTCAAATTTTAATTGGTGTCTTCAGTGATTGTGATAGAGTCAGTTATCCAGATACTTGAATGGCTGTGTTTAAGGTGCTAACCTCAGCATCTTGATCTTTACCAGCACAAATGACGTTGCTTCTAGATACATGTAACGTATAAGAGAAAAGGCCTATGTCTTCAGTGAAAAAAATCTTGGGACTTGATCTCTGATTTGAAAAGCTTTAGTATTTATTTCTACTGTGCCTCTGAAAAATGAATGTTAAGTCTGACCACTTTGATTAACTTATGATTCAGATAATTACTATTTCTCATTATACAGCTTGGGAGATGGTTGCAGTTTTCCAACTCGCCTTGTGGGGATGGATCCAGAGCAAGCTTCTGTTACAAACCAAAATGAATATGCCAGAAGGTGTGTTTCTTGTTCCTTAAGTTTTTCAGTATTCATTATAAAACAAACTGATAACTGCATTATACATGCATGATTCAGGTATACATACAGTAGCAATTCAGTAAGCAGATACAAAAAAAATTATCATCCAAACCAGAACACTTGAGAATAGCAAAGACAGTACTTGTGTACAAAGCATATTTACAAGTCAGGACAGTCACACCCGGCCAGGAATGTCTGGGTAAAGTAGGAAGCAAGTGAATAAAGGCATCCTTATCTTCCTAGAAAGTAAGATACTCTTTCTTTTTTTAATATTTATTATTTTTATTTTATGTGTATGAGTGTTTTGCCTGCATGCATGTTAAGTGCACCATGTTGTGCAGTGCCCAAGGAGGACAGAGAGGGTGTCAGATCCCCTGGAAATGGAGTTATAATAGACAGTTAGCTGCTGTGCGGGTGCTGAGAATAGAATCCAGATTCTCTGCATGAACAGCCTGAGCTCTTAACTACTGAGCCATCTCTCCAACCTGTAAGATACTCTTTCAGGTTTCATTATATTGGCTTATATCAAGTTACTTATTTTTAAAGAAATTCAGGAAGTCACTCATTGTTCTCATAACCATTTACTTTGATAACTATATTTTAACTACAATGTCAACATAATTAATGAGGATTCAGAAATACAATTTTTTACTTACACATCTTAAAGGGAATTTCTTAATGTATTTTCACAATAAGAAATTGTTTAAGAGCTGGGTGTGGTGATGCATACCTTTAATCCCAGCACTTGGGAGGCAGAGGCAGGCTGATCTCTGTTGAGGTCAAGGCCAGCCTGGTCTACTTAGCTAGTTCTGGGCCAGCTTGGGCTACAGGGAGACCCTGTCTCAAAAAAGACCTAATAATAATAATAATAATAATAATAATAATAATAATAAAATAGTTTAATAAATTCAAGATAGTTCATTTTGGATGAAATTTTATGAAGATGCTACAGATATATGTTAATGTGAAATAGTAGGTAGGCTGTAATACTACACCTAAAGCCTGAGACCTTTGGGCTCTGGCACTTACTGTGAATCTGAAGATGTCATTGAAGAAAGTCTCAGTTTCCAGCTCTACGAACTGAGGATAATGAAACCTATGTTGAGACCTGTGTCCTGGGGTTCTTGAGAGGGTAGAGATAGTGTGTAAAGCACCCAGCAGTTTCTGGCCTGTAAGACAAATCCTGGCAAATCTCACTCCATTTTCCTCTTTTCCTTCCCCCTCCCCAGTTCTCTCTTAGTTAGAAACATAAGTCTACAATAAATCACTAAATCATTTTTTCCCCTTAGATCTAAACTGCAGAGGTAGAAAGCAGAAAACTTGGGAGATGACAGGTAACTTTTTGTACTGGCCACAGACATAGCTTTTCACCTGTCCTTGTGCTACCTAAGGTTCCCAATTAACAAGTGTTCAAACCCTTTCACATTGGACTCTGAAGCTGTGTCTTTAGTTTAACTGATTTCATTGACAGTGTTGGAGTACACACTCTTGGGCCCAGAGAGCCAGTCATTTGCTGGGGGGCGGGGGTTGTGGGCATATTTTTCTTTTCAAGATAGCCTTTTCAGAGTGCTGAGATCTCAAGAGTTGCCCTCACCAATTTAAGAGAAGGAATACTAATTTGCTGCTTATTAATTTATTAAGTATCCCTAACTGAGCATTAAAGTATTCACTGAATTGTTTGCTCCTTTTTTCAGTATTGGCTCAAGTCAACCTTTTCCTATTAAACCACTTAGTGAATCAAAAAACCGTTTGTTGGACAGTGAATCTCAGTGGCTAGAGAATGGAGCTGAAGAAGGAGTCACCAGATCAGGTAATAATTCTCATCTGGTTCAGAATCACCAGATTGAGCAAATTCAGTAAAACCAAAATGATATGATCTTTGAAATTACTAAAACAAAGGGAACTTTTCTGTAAATGAGATTTTGGTATTTATTGATAGGTTCTGTGGGGAAAGGGGGCAGAGCCCTTGAGGTAGTGCATTGTAGCTGAGGTTGTGTTTTGTTCTCTTCTGTTCAGCTGAGGTTTTTGTTTTCTAGCCACATTTCTTTATTAGGATGTGGGAAGATATTTTGACATTGTGACTATTCTGAGTAATATTTTGAGGAACAATATTATTTAGTGCTCCAAACAGTGTTCAAAAAACATTTGGACCGGGCGTGGTGGTGCAGGCCTTTAATCCCAGTGCTTGGGAAGCAGACAGAACAACCTAGTCTACAGGCCGGCTGGGACTACAGAAAGACCCTGTCTCAAAAAGGACAGGGAGGGATCAGGCATGGTGGTACACGCTTTTAATCCCAGCACTTGGGAGGCAGAGGCAGGCGGATCTCTGTGGGTTCAAGGCCAGCCTGGTCTACATAGTGAGTTCCAGGACAGCTGGGGCTACAGGAAGACCCTGTCTCAAAAAAGACAAAAAAAAAGGGGCGGGGAGGGCAGGCATTGTACTGAACTAGGCATGGTGGCACACAACTGTAATTCTAGCACTCCTGAGACTGAGGCAGGAGGATCACAAGTTCTTGATCATCCTGGACGCTGGAAGGGAAATAGCATTGTACTCTTTAGACTGCATTAGTTAAAAAAAGAGTGCACTTGGATGCTTTAGCCTTTCTTAATGTGAACTATGGATGAGACTGAAGCGAGATAGAATCCTGTTCAGATCTAGGTTTGCAGTATCATCTGACCACTTAACTAGTATTACTAGCCCTTCCTATCTGAAGTACTTCTTGATTATAGTAGTAATAAGATCATCAGTAACCCTGTACTGTGAGAAGACAGTTTAGGATTTTCAGATCAGTTCATATTAACTCTAGGAAATTACTCTATGAACTTGTCTGTGAATCTCTAATCTTTGAGTTGGGGGACAGGACTTTTAGTTTTGTTTTGTTTTTTTGCCAGTCATAGTGGTTCTCCCCTGTAATCCTAGTATCCCAGTACTCAGGTGGATTTCCATGAGTTTGAGGCCTGCCTGGGCTTGTAGAGTGAGACCCTGTGTCCAAAAAAAAAAAAAAAAAATCCTTTAAAAGTAGTATTTTAGGATCTTCATTAAAATTACCAAATTATCAGAAGTCTTGGGGGCCAGGTATGGTGGTGCACCCCTTTAATCCCAACACCCAGGAGACAGAAGCAGGCAGATCGTTGTGAGCTTTAGGCCAGCTTCGGAAGATCTGCATAGTGAGTCCAAGCTAGCTGGGGCTACATAGTAAGACTCTTTTTCTTAAAAAAAAATTATTAGAAGTCTTATATAAGATGAATGAAAAATTTATTTTGTAGACTTCTTAATAACTGCTGCTTAACATCTTTAAAACCAGTGGATATTTTCACAAGGATAAACAAAACCAAATTTATGATTCTTTAACACGCTTTACTTATTATGCCTGCATTCTACATAAAGGCAATTAGTTGGTACCTGTTTAATACTTATAAAAGTTATTTTTAATGTCATTAAATCTTACCATTTAGCTATCAACTTAATGTTTTTTTTGTGTCATGTCATCTAATTATATGCTTACAGGGACAAATAACCATGTTACAGTGGCAATAGAAAATTGAGCACTGCTTGTTCATAACTAACCATTTGGTAAGAGCAAGGTAAGACAGTATAACGGTAATTTCCTTCTGCAAATGTAGTTATTTGCATATTTCATCTCAAAACCATTTGCAAATTTTTCACTGTTTTCAACTGTATCACCAAAATAAACAGGAGAGTTTGAGGTATCATTTTCCTTATTATACAATTTTAGGAAACATTCATTGGTAGATTAATGAAGAAACTAATTGAAAAAGTTTAGGGCTGGCATGTAAGCAGCCAACTTGTTTGGTAAACAGTGTCTTACTAATTAGTTTAATGGGGGGGAAAGGGTGACATTACCTGTCATTAAAGAAACTTGATCAAAAGTAGATTGATTAAAAATGAAAAAAGGCTTCCAAGGTTCCTTGATGTTCATTTTGTAAGACACAGAACACAGCATTGTCTCAAACCTGGCCTAGAACAGTGCATATAGAGCATCCCTGTTCCTTCCTGGGAGACTTTCATTCTTCCCCAAGGAACTCATCTGGGGTCTCACTTAGTAGAGCATCTGTTTCCTCACTTAAGGCTTATTTGGTCAGGATTTTGCAGAGGACCTGAAGCCTGTGGAGAGCTAGAGCCAGAACTGAAGACCAAGAACAGAATGAGATCACAGATTCCAAAAAAAGGGACTCAGGGGTCTCCTGTCCAGCAGAAAAGTGTGCATTCTGAAGAGGAGCTTCAGGGTCCATTTATGTGACTGAGCCATCTAGAGTTGTAGCCTTGCAAATGGCTTGGGGTTCCCAACTGGTGCTTATTCCTGCTTCTGCGTTATTTTTGATATGGTCAGAGAATCCCCAGCTAGTTTCTCTAGCCTAACAGTAGGAGCAATAGATAGATATGAGGGATACTCAGGTGATAGGTACCCACTTCTGAAGGGTGAGGGGTAATAGAAGAGCTCAAGTAGAAATCCTGATTGCTTCAGGGGAAGAAAGTCATTGATATCTCCTTATTTTTTGCTTCATTATAGTAGAAGAATTAGTCTACAGAACCATTTATTAAATAGAAAAACCAGGTTTTAACTAATGATTCAATTATTTCTTTTTTGTAGGTATATAAAAACACATTTTGGACTAATGTCAATTTTATTTGCAAGAAAAATGATTGGTGGAATGAAATAATTGAAGTATAACAAGATATATTTTTAAAAAGGAAGCCTTTGTACAGTTTGCTGGATCCACAGAAGCACTACAGAGCAGAAAGATGCCTTAATTTTAAGTGTCCATTTGTGCACCATTGACTCACAGCTCAAAAGTGACTTACTTTTCCTTTGGAAATAACAGCTGTTCTGAGATGCTATTATATGAGCTATCATCACATGTTAACATGGCATATGTATTTTTTTTAACACCTGAGTTACAATATTAGAGTTATTTCTTAGTATCCACATAAATTTTCACCCAAAAACACAGACTAAAGACTTGTCTTAAGTGAAGCATATCTAGGGCAGATGGCAGCTAAGAATGAATGAGAGCCAAATTACTGTTTCTTGTACTGTATAAGGGAAAGAATACTGCTTTTTAATTAGATGTTTACTAATTTATAATTACTGTTTTATACTTTTCAACATTTTTAATAAAGATTTTTTTATTATTGGCTATAAAATAACACTCAGAAGGATTCAGCTATCTAAATATAATCATTTAGAACAGAGAACACATTGATATAGTTCAATGAAGGTTTAGTTAGAAGCATTAATAGAAGCCAAGTGGCATATGCCTGTAATCCAACACTCTGGAGGCTGAGGCAGGATTGCTGCGAGTTAGAGTCTAGCCTGGGCTATATTGAGAGACCCTTTCTCTAAAAAGCAGAGAAAAAGAAGTATTAATACAACCATGAAGTATAGTATGCACCCAAGGCTGGAAGAAAACATGGTAATGAAACAAATATTTTGGTTTTCAGTTATTTTTCTTTAATTTTCAGGAGTATTTATGTGGGCAGGGAAGCACAGAGTTACATGTGCTATAAATGAACAAAGTATGAAAAGGTGTCAGTGGCTTAAAGAGAGATTGGAAGAAGGGATATTATAAACAGTTAAAAAGTATTTTTAGTCCTGAAACTGTTTAGGATAAAACGTGCTATTGAGATGAGTTTCAATTTAGGTAATCGAAAAATTATTATGAGGCCAGGCATGGTGGCGCATGCCTTTAATCCCAGCACTTGGGAGGCAGAGGCAGGTGGATTTCTGTGAGTTGGAGGCCAGCCTGTTCTACATAGAGAATTCCAGGTCAGCTGGGGCTACAGGAAGACCCTGTCTCAAAAAGACTTATATATTATTATGGAATGGTTATATAATCTGTAACCGCCTAAAACATGACCAAAAATGCAGTTTACATGAAGGGGAAATACCTTAGAATAATATGTCAGGAAGAGAGTTGTGTTATGACCTGTGTAACTGTTTAAAATTCCCAGTCTTGGGCCAGGTACATGGTTTAGCAGATAAAGGTACTTGCCATGAAATCTGATAACCTGAGTTAGATTCCTGGAACCCCATGTGAGTCCCCCACATGGCAGCTTCGAACCGTCCTTAACTCCAGTTCCAGGGGAATCCAAAACCCTCTTCTGACCTCTGCAGCATTGCACGACATGGGT